CCACCACCACCACCACCAACAACAACAACAACAACACCAACAACAACAACATCAAACACGTACAGGCGTGGGCGGGCGGGACGAGCGGCCCCCACCCTTGAGAGCCCCACAGCAGCAGCAGGCAGGCGGCAAGTGCGCGCGCGGGCGGGCGAGACGCCAGGAGGGGCAGCGGGGAGTCTGCAGGGGCCCCAGGACACACAAATAAGTAGACACACAAATAACAGGATTCCCCACACTTTCCCATATTTTCTGGGTTTTTGTCTCCCCCCCCGCACTTCCCATAGTTTCCCCTATTTTCTGTCTGGGGAGTCGACGATTCATTGTGTCTGTGTGTTTCTTTCTCTCCTGGGAGTCTAGCTTTGCTTCCCCTTCGTGAGCCCGAGCTTGCCAGGAAGCGCGAGCGCCCAGCAGCCAAGGGCACGGCTCCGCACGCGGTGCGGGAGGGCGGGGCGCAGAAAGGGGGGTAGGGGAAGGGGGGAAGGCGCTTCCTTAGAGGGGAGCTGCTTCCCAGAAGGCGCTGGCCTCACGCCTGTAGAGAAGGCCCGCGCCTTCCGAAGGAGCAGGGGTGCTTCTGAAAAGCCTTCCCCCCTCCCCCTGCCCCTCCCTGCGCATGGCCGCGGGAGGGCGGGGCGAGGGACACTCCGAGGCCCGGGGAAGCAGACGGGGATGGAATGAAGCCGGAGAGTCCCTCGGAGGCCCGGGCCCGGCAGAGGACGCCATCGGCCGCCCGCGCTTACCGAGCTTCTGGGCCGGTCTTGGGGAAAGCAGGGCGGAAGGGGGGGGGGCATGCCAGAGCAACAAGAGGATCGTGGGACGCGGCGCAGGAGCGGCGCCCCATCCCTGGGGGCGGCAAAGGAACGCGTCTGCGAGGGAGTCGGATCGAAGATCGAGGGTGGAGCGATCGTTCGACCGATCCACCCTGGGCCCTCCATCGATCTGATCTATCCTTGAGGAGGGGCTTGAAAATATACGCCGAGGCGCCCAGCTGGCCAGACCCAAAGAACTCGGCTCGCAAACTCCCCAGTATCTGGGGAAACCAAAAAGTACCGATACCGCTTCTCCCCGGACCTCTCTTGGGGTGCGTGCTGACCAGGATCGCGAAGCGAATCCAGCGGCGGCGACGAGGGCCTCCCAGGAGGCCGAAGGAGGAGAAAACGAGACAGGGGCAGCGGCATCGGTACCGTTTTCTCCTCAGAGGTCTTGCCCGCGACGGGGCTCGGGTGGTGCCGAGGGTCCGAGCCATGCGCGCACTGCGCGGCACCCTGCAAGGTGCTGCCAGATGTGCCCCTGGCCCAGGGGGGAGGCCATCGCAATCGAAGTCGAATCGGAGGAATCGAAACGAGCCCTGGAGAAGGGGAGGAGGAGGAGGAGGAGGAGGAGGAGGAGGAGGAGGAGGAGGAGGAGGAGGAGGAGGAGGAGGAGGAGCCCCTGGATGTCCAAGGAGGCCCTCGCGGCCTCCGGAGCACCCCGTCACGAGGCCCAGCGGGCCCCCACGGGCTTCAAAAGTTGCACGAGGAGCTAGGGGCACCTCGGGCGAGGGGCACCTCTAGCGGCCCCCGATCCTGCCCCGACGCAAAGAGGCGCGGCGCGCGGAGGCGGGGTAGGGGCGGGGGGAAGTCTTCTTAGTGGGAGGCTGCTCCTCAGATGGCGCGGGCCCCACATCTGCAGACAAGACCCGCGCCTTCCGAGAAGCGACCTCCGCGGAAGGTGCAACCGCTGCTGGGCGGGCGACGTCTGCGCCAAATGTCAGAGGAGGAACCGGTACCCATACCCCGACCCTTCCTCCATTTTCCCCTGTTTCCCCATTTTCCCCTGTTTGTGCCTCCCCGGAGGCCCTCGTCGCCACCGCTGGAATCGCTTCGAAATTCTGGTCAGAACGCAACCCGGGAGAGGTCCGGGGAGTAGCTGTATCGATACTTTTCGGTTTTCCCAGCACGCACAGAACGTACAACGCCAGTGGCGACATCATCAGCGAATCCTGCTCGAGATGGGCACGACTTGCTGTCGGGTTTGGGGTTGCGCCCGCCGTCCTAGAAACAAGTTCTGGTGGGATGGATTGTTGATACTGTATATGCACCCTCTGTGTGGAACGTGGGAAATGCGATAGGTGCCAAGATTGGCTAAAGTCCGCCCGACATTCGAATAGAAGCGGCTGCTTGATGGCGCGCGATAAAGCCTTCTACTGCGTGCCTAGTGTCTCCTACATATATAGACACGTATATGCATCGGTCGGCGTCCCAATTGTTATCGTCACCATTCTGGCTTCCCCGATGTTCTCGCCCATGCCAGAGCCCGCTCCAACCAGCAGCACCTGACGCCCTTTCCGCCCTGCTCGGTAGCAGCCCGGTGCCAAGGCCTCATCTTGTTTATGGCTGTTGGGTGCTGCTGGGCGAGCCGCATCGTGTGTACAATTTTGCCGTCCCAGCGCCTGCGGCCTCACGTGGCGGGAGGGCCGAGGTCGCGATGCGGAACGGCGCACATCACCCGGCTGCAAGGTGCGGCACAGCGCCCGAGCGCGCGCGCCTCGCTGGAGTCGTCGTCGGCGTCGGCGTGGAGGCGGGGGGAAGACGAGCGCGGCCGCGGAGAAGGGACTGCGGGCAGCTGGGGCAGTCAGAGCTTGCGGTCCAAGCAGGCAGGGCACCGAGGCGCCACGATGCCAGGTGCAGCCTCCCAGGCTGAGGATCCTGACGGGAGCCTCCAACAACGACTTGGGTCACCAACGTGCCAAGGGAGGCGCAGTGCGCTCACGGCAGGCACGAAGGCCTGCTCTGATCGAGCACACACTGTGCACTGCGCGTTGTATGCGTTGACCTAGGTTCTTGATCGTATGACATTCGCCTGTGCTCGAAGGTTCAAGAAAATTCGGTAGATTTGAATACGGCCTCCGTGCCTTGACGAACGGTAAATTTGATGTAGGTGGAAGGGGCGCAGGATGATGGCTGCAACGAAAAATAGCGCGACCGTCATTCTCTGACATCCTCCATCCTGGCACGCCTGGCACGCCCAGGACAAGGGCAGAATGGAATGAGTACGACGCCCAAGAGCAACTTTTGCCCACTACCTACCGACAGCGGCCGTGGCTGGGCGGGCAAAATTCGTCCCAAATGGCCAAAGTCCGCAACGACAGCGAATCCTGCTCAGAGCGAACATCGAAGAACACTCAGTCGCATGATCAAAAACTCGTCCCACGGTCCGCGAGGACTTGTTGGATCTGCGCTGGGATCCCCCTCATTGGCGCGCGGAGCGCGCCAGGGGCGGCGCCAAGGGATCCCCGGCGCCGACCAAAAAGAGATCCGCGCGGAACGCCGCTCCGCTTCTCGAGTGCAGGAGCGGCCGCCAACCTCCGTCCCCGCCCGCTCCGTCCCCACCTCGGCCCCCCCGAGGTCCTGGCTCTCCTGCCGCCGTGGGCTCGAGACACCTCCGCACCCACGGCCTCGATCGGGGATCTTCTGACCCGGGTCGATCCAGACCCGGGTCAGTCAGGCCTCGCAGGACCCCGCAAAATCCCGCAAGATCCTGCAAGATCCTGCGCCCAAGCCCGGGTGAATGCGGAAGCTCCTGCACGAGATCCTGCAGCTCCCGCACCCAAGCCCGGGTCAATGCGACCCTGGCACTGCAGGCTCCTGCAAGATCTGGCGCTCTGGCTGACCCCCGTTGGCACTGACCTGAGTATCGTTTAACCGATCCCCATCCCCAGCGGCGTGGCCTGGGCCCCCCTGGACGATGCACCCCCCCTAATTAGATGGGGATATCATTCGTCCTCTTCGGGCTTCGAGGGGTGTAGCCCCAACTGGGGTGGTAATTTGGTGGGGGTCTCGAAGGGGATGGAGATAGGGATGGGGATCGGGTTACCGATGCCGATGACCCCGTCTCCCGAGCCCCGACTTAAAAGAACAGAGTCCGGCCTCCCCGGCCGCGCTCCCACGGGCGCGGGGAGGCCCTGCGCGGCCGTGCCGGCTTCGCGGGGCACGTGGTTGTGGCAGGGGACGCCCGCGACGGGCACGACGCCCAACAACAGAGGGGGTCCAAGCCCGACAGCGGCCGCTGTTGGTGAAGGGGAACTGGAACACACAAATAAATACACACAAATAAAAAGATTCCCCATATTTTCCCATATTTTCTGTGTTTCTGTCTTCCCCCCCACTTCCCATATTTTCCCATACTTTCTGGGGAATCGCCGATTAATTGTGTCTGTGTTTCTTTCCCTCCTGAGTTGGGCAGGCGGCCGCCTGTCTCAAAGGGGCAACGTCCGCGGCGACACCGACAGCGCGTCCGGTTCAAGGTGAACAGGGACGGCTGTCGGCCGTTGTGCCCACTCTGTCCTTGCAGTCAAGCTGCTGCCTTGTGGCACGCAAAATGAGGAACGAAGCCCCTGCTTGGCACAAAAGTGCCTGGGTGCACGAGAGGGGTTTGAGGAACAACCGCGGAACGACCCAAGGAACAGCAAGCCCCTTTCCCAACCCAAAGTGGTCCGTATGTCAGCGTCTTGACAGTATCCATTTCAATGGCCAAGAAGTGCTATCCATGGGATCGCGCCCCAGCGCCCGGACCGCGAGGGCATAGACATGTCCGACGAGACCCGCTCGGACTGCGTCATTGGACCCCACGGCGCCCACTCTGGAGGAACAAAACACGGGATGACATACAAGTTCGAAGGTCCGCGATCATTTCTTGGATCGGCGCTGGACCCCCTGGCGGCGCCTCCGGCGCCGCCCCTGGTGCGCTCAGCGCGCCAGGGAGTGGGGTTGAGCGCCGATTCAAGAACACCGCGCAGAGCTCCAAAAGTAAATGTGTATGCCGTTCTGCCTTCGACGCTCGCGCTAATCTTTCACCCCAGCTCAATGTTCGACGGCCCCAGCCCCCAGGAGCGGCACCCTGACAACGAGACACGATCTTGACGACCTGGGCCCCAGAGCTCCCAACCCCTTCCCTGAGGGTTGCCCTTCGTCCCATGACTGTTGATGGCCCCCGAGGCCGAGATCGAGGAGAAACGCCGGGATTGGAGAAAAACACACACACACATCGTGGGAGACCTGGGGGCCCCCTTCCTGCACGACCTCCCCCCGCCCGGTCCCCGGACCCCTCCTGTAAGGGGTGCGTCCTGACCAGAGCTGCAGGGCGAGCCCAGCGGTGGCGGCGAGGGCCTCCCAGAGAACGAGGGAAGGGCAGCGGCATGGGTGCCTTTTCCCCCTCTGCCCTGCGCCGCCCTCCCCAGACCCCCGACGTAATGATTTTTTCGTTACGTCGACCCCCAGAGGTCCCGACCCTTTCCCTATGACCGGCTTTGCATCCTGAGTCGTTTTTTGACGCTCCCGAGGCCCGGTGAGGGCCCCCGGAGGCCGAAAACTAGGAAAAACCTCCCGTCGTGATTTTTTCATTACTCGAGGGGGTCTGGGTCCTGCGCCCCCGGCGAGAGAAAGAAGGCCGAGCCGAGGCCTCTCGGCAGGGGCGGCCGGGCTGCAGAGCCGGGCCGCGGGGCGCCTGCTCTCCAGGGGGGCGATCCTGCCCGCCCTCCTCGACGAGCACGCGCCTGCGGGCAGGGGCGACGAGCAGGGACGGGTCTTGCGCGAGAAGGCATGGCGGCCTCGCGCGTTGGCTCACGCGGGCCGCCAGCGCGGCACGCCACACCGGATGCGAGGGCGCTCGCGCGCGACCTTTCGCGGGCAGCTCACGCGCCAACGTCGGCGAAGACGTCCGTTTTTTTTCTTCTGCGTCGCTCACATGACTTTCTCAGCACGGCGTGGGATGCAGCACGGAGAAGGCGGAGCGGCCTCGTGGTGGAGGGGCCCTGGAGCGCTTTCTCGCCGCCCTCGCGATCCACATGGCCCTTCCCTGCGGCCCTGGCACGGTCGGCTAGAGGATCCCAAACGGGGGCCAGTGCGGGGGGGGGGTGGGCCGTCGGCGCTGGCCCCCATCCCCCCCAGACCCCCTCGGGTAATGAAAAAATCTCGACGGGAGGTTTTTCGTAATTTTCGGCCTCTGGGGGCCCTTACCGGCCCTCGGGAGCGTCAAAAAACGACTCAGGATGCAAAACCGGTCCCGGGGAAGGGGTCGAGACCTCCAGGGGTCGACGTAATGAAAAAATCATGACGTCGGGGGTCTGGGCCTACAGCGTGAAGCGCTCCAGGGGTAGCGCCGGAGGCGCCTCCGCGGGGGGCGGTGTCTAGCGCCGGCTCCAGGAACCTGACAGGCCCTCCGACAGCGTATGCTGAGAAAGTCTGCTGGTCTTCGACAGCTTAAAAGCCCAGCGGGGTATACAATCTCGCCCGCCAGGGGAGCGGCAGCGAACCTGGATCTCCGATGTCATGATTTTTGCTCGTAGCGTGGACCCCCCCAGAGGTCCAGACCCCTTCCACAGGACGGATTGGCGAATCCTAAGTAGCTGTTGCCGCCAGAGGGAGCCCAGTCAGGGCCCTCGTAGGCCGAATACTCGCCAACAACCACGCGCCTGAGACAAGGGGAGGCCTGGGAAGGCCGGGGAGGAGGCAACGCAGAAGGCGAGGTCCAGGAGGACAGGGAGGGGAAGGTCGCATGGAGGGGGCCAGGGCAGCGGGGCATGTCGGGGCGGCAGAAAGGCGCATCTGGGAGGGCAAGGGCGTGGGAAAGGGTTTTTTGGTGCCACGGTGAGAGGAGAAGTCGGAGGACGCCAACTACTACACACCTACACCGGTCTTGGCCAGGCCCGTACCGGGCACCATATCGGTGCATACTCCTTCCTGGTTTGGCCGGGAAGGCGTGTGCACCAATCATGGACTGAGGATCGACACCGCCGAAATCGTTGTAAGCGTTTGCTCAAGACCCCGAGGTCATGAGTTTGTTCACAACGTAGGCCCCCAGAATTCTCGACCCATTCCCAGGACCAGGCTTTCACCGTGATAATTCCCGAAAACAGTGTTTGCGCTTAGGGGTTTTCCCTCGTATTCCAAAGAACTGGGCATGGGGGTCGGTCCAGCGGCTCCGTGGTCGCCGTTGCCGCCCTTTCGCCGCCTCGTCGCCGCCAGTCGTCTGGGCCTGGGGGTGGGTCTGGCAGTTCCGTGGTCGCCGTCGCCGCCCCGTCGCCGCGTCGTCGCCGCCCATCGTCTGGGCTGGGGGCTCGGTCTGGCGACTGGTCGCCAAACGCCGCCCCGTCGCCACCTCATCGTCGCAACAAGAAGTGCGCCACAGAGCTTCACATGTCTGACAGGAAATTCGGATATACGACCTCCCTGCACAACGTAAGCAGCTGCAGAACATAGATCGCTTTCCAACGTTACCTATACAGCGTAGCTTGTACAACAAGTCCTTTCCAACATTAGCTGCACAACATAGACTGCACCACCTAGACTGTCCCACAAATATTGCACCACCTAAACACTGCACACCATATATTGCCAGAGACACAGGGTTTGGGCCCACGCTTGCTAACAGTGATTATTCGTCGGTCCTGGGGCCTGGCGAGGGCCCCCAAGAAACGAGACTTACCCAAAACGTGGACCGCGACTCACGCAGGTCTCGGTCGTT